TAATGAATGTAGTTTTCTCCAGAGCAAAGGTGAGGTGACTGTGGAAAAGGCAGGTAACAATTTATTAGGAAAAAGTATACTGCAGCTGAAAAACAGACTCATGATGGTTTAAAGTGAACCTTTAACGAAGGTATCAACATTTGTAATGTGTCACACACATACCAGACAAGCAAAATGGTGTGACAGCTCCTGGACCGAATAGTCTAAACAGACCTGCTAATACAAAAAATAAATAAATAAATAAATAAATTATTAGCAGTTCATTATGCAATAACATGAGGAAATAAGAGGGACTTTATACCTCTCTAGGTTATATTACAAGCCATCAGCGCTGATAAAATTGGCAATCTTTCTGTATTACTGTATGATAAAACACTAAACAAATACATACCGATTTATGCATCAACAAAGACTATGTAAAAACATTAATATGAACTTGACTGCTTTTGTATTTGATTTGATGTTGTAGGATTTCTGTGCGGAACTGCTGCATCAGCTTCATAGGGATTTGTCCCTCTAAAGGAGGAGGAACAGCGTGAAGAAAATCATGCAGATCTGGTGCTAGGGATAAGTTCTCAGACGGTTCATAAAACAAGTTAATTAACAGCAATTATATGGGTAAACTCATAAGTACGTATAGCCATTGCATGTACCAGCTCCTTTATGGTTATGATTGATGGAAAGTAATGGCTCTTATGGATGATTATTGTGTTGGTTTTGGCACATTATTACAAGTAAATTTAAATTTGGTGACAATAAAAGAAGTCCCTGGCAACTACAGATGCACTGGAAGATTGGTTGTCTAGAAGGAAAATCCTGATTTCATGTGACCAACATTTGACATGGCACTGGAGGGGCTGGTTATCATCAGTACTGGTGATTCACAGTTTTCCCAAGGCCAAACAAGCCAGCAGGGGTGTCGCAGCTGCTAGATGCTGCTCAGCTGTTTTCTTCTTGCTCCATTTAATTGGATGAATTGTAGGAACCTAGAGCTACGTGGGACAGAGCCAGATCAGGGCAGGCATGCTTCAAACTGCTGAGCAGAATGTCACTGCCAGGTATGGTGTACAGTGCTCACATTTCTGATGCCACCTAATGATACTCATTTTCAATACCATTCATTATAAAACTAAAACTACATGGTGTGTCTGTGTTATGTATCTCTATAAAAAGATTATTTCATTGAGGAAGGTTGGTCCAGCGAGGAATAAGAGCTGAAGACGATCATGCAAGTGTTGATTCACGTCTGTAGAGGCCGGAGGAGTAGCCCATTCCCAGGCCCTGCCCCAACCCCATTTTCAGAGTACAGTGGCCAGTGCCACCACAAAACACCCTCACTGACAAAAAAAACAGGGCAAAGGAGCTTCCCACAGCATGTCTGGAAGAGCAAGCACAAACATTTGGCATCAGCAATCAACACACATGCATATATGGGTTGGGTTTTTTTTTTTTTCAATCTTATGGTAAAGGCAGCTAAATATTGCACCCTCTGTGATTACAGGGGTGATTTGCACAGACTTGCTCGTTCGTTATGGAGCTGATGAAAGCGCAGCCTTGAGGGCTGGGGTGTGCGGGGGGGCGGGGCGGG